TAATTTATTAAAAACAAGATTTGTATAAACCCGATTATACATTGTTCTCTCTATGGTATTGAAAAAGAGCGATAGTTAATGATATTAGTATTATTATAATTTTATTTCAATGGTAGTAAAATATTTGTTCTATTGATTGCATTACATTTTGGTTGACCTATTATATATAAGTAAAAAATATATAAATAACTTTAGTTGACTTAATACTCTAGCAAAAATTTATAAGTAAAGTAATATATATATTTTTCCAATTATTGGTATATGTGAGAGTAAGTTAGCGTTAGTTTTTATTTTCTATATAATTTCATATACGATTTTTTCATTTATTCTAGATCTTACGAAACTTCCAAAAATTGACCAAAAACTATATGTTAAATACTTAAAGCCAATATCGGAAAAAAAATCAAATAAATTACTAAACCATTCAAAAGTCTATTCAAAAAACTTTGAGAAAGTACTAAAACAAAAAAAAACTTCTCTGACTAGCTTTACAAACACAAAGGCCTTAAAGTGCATCTGGCAAATAATAATATATCAATAATTAGAAAAATATATTACTTATATATTTTTAGGTCAATCAAATGGTATTGCGACCAATCGAACAAATATTTTACAACCATTGAAATAAAACTATATAATAATGTTTGATCCATAAACGATAGATAAGTTTTTGATTAATAAATTCTAGTAATTCAAGCATAATTTTTACTGAGTTGATTTATAATGAACTAGTTCATTATAAATCTTTAATGTATAAATTATATAATATATACAGTCATGTGCATGAAAATAGCAGTGGGAGAAAATTATTTATAAAATACATTTAATTTTTTTACTGATGGTTAATTTTGTATATTTTATTCTCTAAATATTTTCTGTTACGGTTTTTAAATATAAAGAGGTTGGCAATATTGCTGTTTATACATACATGTATCAGAATTTAAATTAAATTATAAAATTTTGTTTTATTAACTGTGCGTTATAATAGCAGTGAATATACACTTTATTTTCTATTAGTCGTTAAGCGAAAATAAAAAGTCTTGCAAAGGATATGCATCAAATTTATCATTAATTGTGTTTGTGGTTTCAAGTTAGACTTTGACACATCAAAAAATGTAGCAGGGTTTGATATTAACAAAAGATTAGTGTATGCCATGAGAACACTTGGTCAAGGCCAAGCTGGTCTACATCGGTTTGCCACTCTTATGAATATCCCAAAAGGATTATGCAATAAAAGCTATAATGTTATTGTTCAAAAATTGGCAACTGCAGCACAAACTGTTGCTGTTGAAACTATGAATGAAGCTGTACAAGAACTCAGAGAAGGCAAATCTCTTAATGAGATCTTAGATATTGGAGTTTCTGTTGATGGAACATGGCAAAAAAGAGGATTTAATTCACACAATGGGGTGACGGCAGCATTATCAATTAAAAATGGGAAAGTTTTAGATGTTGAAGCATTATCTAGAAAGTGTAAAATATGTGACAAAAATCAAGATGTTGGTAATTCAAAGCAGCAGCTAACAGCAAAAAAATCACATATTTGCAATAAAAACTATGAAGGATCAGCCGGTGGAATGGAAACAGTTAGCGCAATAAAGATATTTAATCGCTCTTTGCAAAAATTTAATTTACGATACACAGAATACTTGGGTGATGGTGATAGCAAAAGCTACACTTCTGTCAAAAACACACACAAGGGTATTGAAGTAATTAAACTAGATTGTATTGGACATTTTCAAAAGCGCATTGGATCTCGTTGTTGACAATTAAAAAAGCAAGTCAAGGGTTTAAATGGTAAAAGCGGTTTAACAAACGCTACAATTGATCGGTTGCAAAATTATTTTGGTATTTGCATTAGGCAAAATTGTGGCAACCTTGAAGGTATGAGATCTTCAGCTTTGGCTAGCTTATTTCATGTAGCATCTTCAAGCAAAAATAATTGGCATTACCCGCGTTGTCCCACAGGAAAAGATAGTTGGTGTAAATACAATCGAGATAAAGCTAATGGAACCAAAGAGTATAAACCCGGACCAGGTCTTCCTATTGAAATAGTACACAAGTTAAAGCCCATTTATGTAGAACTAACATCAGATGCTTATTTAAATCGTTTGCTTCATGGAAGAACACAGAATCAAAATGAAAGTTTTAATGCAATGATATGGTCTAGAATACCTAAGTCAAAGTATGTTTCGCTTACGCAATTGAAATTTGGACTCTATGATGCTATTGGTGCCTTTAATATAGGATTAAAGTCTAGTATACTTATATTTGAAAGACTTAATATGATACCAGGGCAACATACCATTTTTGGATGCAATTACCTGAACTAGAAAAGAGTTATGATGTCAGAGTATAAAAATCAAGACACCATCAAAAAAAAAGGAAGATTTTAAGGAGCCGCAAGCTTAAAAAATTTGACAAAGTTGAACAGAAAAAAGGGAAATTGTATGGGGCTGGTGTTCATGATTAAAAAATACAATCAGTATGCTCTTTTTATATTATATTTTTTGTATCTTTGTTATTATATAATATTTTTCATCACAATTTCAACTTATTTGGCATTTTTCTCAGAACGCGTGTTTTTAATCTCCCGGCAGATCTTGAGAACCGCTTGACCGATTTTAATGAAATTTTCAGGGAGTATTCCTCTTATAAAGATGTATGCAATGAGCAGACAACTTTTTAAAAATGTTTTTTAAACTAAAGAAATTAAAAAAAACATCTATCATTTTTGTGCTTAAAATTTTTACCAAAATTAAACAGGCCTACTACCTGACAGAAAAGTTATTTTCAGTCAGGTAGTAGGTCTGCTTATTGCATAGATCTATCTTTTAACTATAAGTTAGAAAAAAATCAGCTTAAAGTATCATTCTAATTGACTGCAATCTTTGCCAGGGTGAAGAGACTAATTTGACATTTTCCCTTAGTAACCGCGTTGCCATGGCAACAGAGTGCCATTTTTTATGATAGATCTTCTTAACATTTAGTATACTTTTATTTGGAACATGTAATAACTTTATTAATGCTTTACTTTAGAAAATAAGTTTTTGAGGGGTTTTCCCCCTTAACTAAAAGGTTCTTTTATATCATTAAAACTAAATAAGGTTACATACAGCAAAATTGCATTTTTTATTAAAAAAATATTTTCCCTAAAACAAGAAATATATTTCTTGTTTGAAGAAATAAATTTTTTAAACTATGGATAATGGATTTACAATTTTGATGTGCAGGGTCGGTCTTATGGCATGAAAGAAAATATTATAAAAGAATTTTAAGGTGTTACGAAGACAACGTAACTTTATGGTTACTTTTTCATTTAACGAACATTTTTAAGAAACAGTCGTGGCATTTGCTATCTGGCTTAATTGAAGTTCTTGTTTTCCCCAATATCTTTTTTTCCTCGATTAAAATTGTGTTATAAACATCATGGGTTGAAGATCCATTTAGGAGTTAATATTACGTTGCCATGACAGAGCCCATAAAGAGTAATAACCCAGCAAACATTCTATAGTGGAGTTTCAGTGGACCTATATAGGCATTTTGAGCGGACCGCTATAGTTTTGCTCATCGGTTCTGTGTGAGTGTGTTTCGTAACTTTTTTTTTTTTTTAATTTTATTTTAATTCACCTCCTCGAGGCCGAGAAGGCCACTTCAGACGAGGAGGCTAACTTATTTTTTAAACTTAAGTTATTATTAGTATTTTTAATTAACTAGAATTAATTGATAAAAAAGGTCAAAGAGAATTTCCCATAAAATTTTAATTGCTTTTAAATAGTTTTATTTAATGTTGAATTGCGCATTATATCTATAAGTATGTGCTATCTTGTCTCAACAAGTTAAGAAGTAAACTGATAATTTTTTCATCAGTGGCTGCGCTTTTTATTCAGTTAAGAGGCTATCCATTAATTACGTCAACAATTTTTTTGAAATTTTCTCCTCCCACCTCCCCCTTGTCAACAATTTGTCAAATTTCCAGAGACCCCTTCCCTTTAAAATTACGTCAACTGTTGATTACCCCCTCCTTCCCTATACAAAGAAACTACGTTACAAACTCAGCCTAATTTTCCGTTATTTAAGCAATAAAACTCAAAAAAAAAAAGAAAAATTGTTTACGTCAACTTTTATTCATCTCCCCCCCTCCCCCGTATCAACAATTGTAAAAAAAGTCTAGACCCCCCCCCCCTATTTTGTTGACGTAATTAATGGACAACCCCTAATTAGAATTTCTTTTATTTTTCAATACACATGCGTTCTTGCCGACATCATCAAACTGCAGGGACAATTTAAAGATTGACACAATATATTTGCAGAATAAACGTGATACTTCGGACCCCTAAATATTTTTCTTTCAGCCCAGTTTTTTTTAAGTAATACATTACTTAGTGAAAAATAGCATACTAAAATATCTCGAACGAATTTTAAAAAATTTACAGTGAAATTTTTTAAAATGTTGAAAATAGGCGCGAAAACTACAATTAGCCAATAGTTATATTTTAAACTAGGTAACTGTGCTACCCCTAAATAATGTATGGCGAAATGGCTAGAATGCTCGACTTGAGTGACTACAAAGAATAAAATTAAAATTAAACATATATACCATAACACAAATGTCAAACATCAACAACGAAAAATTGTATGTTGATTTAAGTAAAATATGAAAATGAAAAATAACTAGATAATTAGTAGATGTTAATAATACTGAGATAAACATTAAACAAAACTTTTTTTGCATTACAGTTAAAGTATCTACTCAAAATTAAAAAATAACTTGTTAAAGTAAAACAAGATAACGATATATTGAACTATTTCAGAAAAAAAGTTCCAGAAATTATTGCTTGTTTTTCCGAGCCCTATCAAATTCCAGGACTTTTCCAGGACCTCTGGCCACCCTGTCTAGTCTTACTTCGCGCACGTGCAAGTTTCACACTTTGAAAACTTTAACGCAGTCGGGGTTCATTCATCTAAATAATTCCAACTTAAACATAAAAATAAGAAAATCAAAAGAAACGACGACATTTTAATATTTGAAAACACAATACATAAATTCCACATGTATGGTGTAATGCATTACACTAGACGAAATTGACATGATAATATTATATCATTCAAATGTACGTTTCAATGACAGTTGTAACAAATTTTTTTATAAAAAATCTCATCTAACACTACTGGTATAAATTATTTACACTTTATATATGTCACTATTTTTATATTTAAAAACTCGAGAAAGTTCTTCATAAAAAGATTTTCCTCCTTCTACTATTGATTTGCCTTCTACTTTTACGCTTGTGTTTGCTTACTTTTATAAGCCATATAATAACCATGAAACCTAAAAGTTTATATCAAAAAAATAATACCTTTATATTATTCAAATAATTTATTACTTGAAATATATGAAGTATTTCTTAATGTAACTAAAGAATTTCCAATAAAAATTGACAAAGTAGCTTTCTTATCTCACAAAAAATACCTGAGCATTGTTTTATTTATCGTCGTACTCCATGGAGCCTTTAACAACAGCTAAACCATTAATTGAGCCGGTATCAACCAATTTCATTAAAACCCGTATAAGACTATCACGGCTTTTGATATTAAACGAGACTTTCGTTTTACCTGTTTGTCTCGGATTTCCCTCAATATCTGCTTCACTGCAATAATAAAAAAAGAAACTATAGAGTAAATTTAGTTCGGCGCCACAAATAAAAACAATAACAAAAAAAAACTAAATAATTTTTTTTGATTTAATGGATTGTCACAATTAACACAATTTTTTTTTTCTTTTTTAATTTTTGGCTAAATGCAAAATGGCTGTTAAACTTTTAGTATAATGGAAATTTATATGGAGTAAATTTCATTAAATAAGTTATAACTATTTTCATATTTATAAATAGTTAAACTTGTGTTACTTTAATGATTAAAAACATTATCAGAACATGTTGTTATGGAAGCCACAAAGTCTTACACATGCAAAGTGAATCGAAAAACAATAGTAGATCACAGTTAGTAACCAAGGACACAACTCCAAAAATATAAACAGGCTTATTGACTACATTTGGGAAAATAATTAGTGTTGTTACAACTTTTAAATAGTTTGACTGTCGACTAAACCGACTAATATGTTTTCTAGAGTCGACTAAAGTCAAATAAAATCGACTAATACATTTTTGATATATGAGAATAAATTGTGGTAAAGTATGAGAATAATAATGGAAATAAATTGTGGTGTAATATGGGAATAAATTGTGATAAAAGTAATAAAGTAATTTTAATTTGCTTTTTATGTTTCAAGATCATATAATTTAAATATTAATGCAACAAAACAATATGAGAGCAGGGCCATTTCAAGGACGGGATAATTTATTCCCAAACCTCAATAATTTTGGCCAATTGCCTTTAAGTCAGCTTTAAGTCAGCTTAAAATGGCCCTGTATGAAAGTATTTTCAAATATCAAAAGCATAAAATTAAAAAAAAAAAAAAAAAAATTAATAAAACACATAACTAAAGTTTAATTAGGTACAGATATTGCTAACATTAGCTATGAATTATGCTATGAATTAGATAAAACTAATAATAAACTATAAGATAGTAAACAACAAGGTAGGTACCATATAAATGTTGTAATATTACATGCTATTGTTGTTAATGGAACAAACAAAAATTAAAGATTGAAAAAATTAAATTGAATAAATAAGATACAAGGGTTTTAAGATTATTAACAGACTAAATCGACTTTTAGTTGATTAGTAGGAAATTCTCAGTCAATTAAATCAAGTATTAGATTTTTTAAAGTCCACTAATTTTGACTTTTTACTAGTCAACTTTTAGTCGATTTAGTTGAAGTCAATAACAACACTAAAAAAATGAAGACATTTAGGTTAGAAGAACAATAATTTTTATACCTGGAGTCCTAATGTAAAATAGCGGCAAGGACTCAAGGACTCCCAGCTAAAAAACAATAGGCTCCAAGTCATTAAATTTTATCAACTTTTTTCTCATTGCAGATGATAAGTCACTCAGCACTTTTAGAGCTCCTGGACACCAGAGACCTACAAAAAATAAGGATATAAAGTCCATTTTGAACTCTACATCCCTGATTTAACTGCTTTAAAAATGATCAAGAAAGTACTTTCATAGAATTTTTTTGAAAACTGTTTATATATATATAATTCAGGTCAGATCAAGATTAAGGTCATTAAAGATCACTTTGCAACTGTTAACACATAATTTAGTACAACTAGCCTAAAATCTACTGCCTTGTAGGAATGGATTTCTAATTTAACTCTAACATAAAAAACCCTCTGCTTTGGAGCTATTAGCTATTCAAAAGCAATAAATGGTGTCCTTATAAAAACAATTAATAAATAAATAACTGCATCTGGCTAATGTCTTGAAGAAGGCTTTCAAGACAGAGACTTTTGGAACAGGCATAAAGTTTTGTTGACAAGCCTTGCACTTTATTATCTAGTAGGCACAGAGTGTGACAGCCTGAGCAATAAGCCATTCATTCAATACCTCAGAGGGATTGATATTTGATTGGGGCCAGGGCCAGGTTTGATAAAAGAAAGCTCAATTTGTGACTGGGGCTGAATATACATTCATACATCCTAAAATATATAAATTTTATTTATATATGTATATATAATATATATATATATATATATATATATATATATATATATATATATATATATATATATATATATATACATGGATATTTATATAAAAACATCATCATGATCATCATGGCTTTAGCCATGGCAGGCTAATAAGCTTAGATTAATATAATAAAAAAGCCTAATATAATAAAAACTTGATAAAAAACGTTTAATAAAACTTTAATAAAAGTTACGCAAAGCGCATTTAAATTGAGTAACAAATTGCTACTTATTGTTTTGTTTACTAAATGAACAAATTTTATTAAATTTATTAAAAAGTGTTTTATTTATTATTTTTAAATTGTATAAACATTTATTTTTTCAAAGAATTTTTTTAAATAATGTAGTCTGATGGTTAGATTCTGACGGTTAATACTTTATATGCATAAATCTCCTACATTACCCCCTGAATACATTACCCCATGAATCCAATAATTTAATTCTTATTAGGAAATATTTTTATTTCCTTTTTTATGTTTCTTTAATATATATATATATATATATATATATATATATATATATATATATATATATATATATATATATATATATATATATATATATATATAATCTTTTTCTTTTAACTGGAGTTTTTACCATGTGTAATGCACTCAGTATTCTTACTTCTACTTTTTCTCCTGAAGCTGCAACCTCTCTTCTTTCTAATACGAAAATTATCTGAACCCTCATTGCTCAACCAAAATCTGCTTTGACAAGCCTTGTCATATTCACTCTATCTAATTTCTGTTTAAGATTATGGCTTTTTTTCTTAATTTGTTTGTAAAGAAAAAAGAGCCATCACATCCATCTGATCATCATCTTCAATCTTGGAAATATTATGCCATATAAATACTAAAGTTTATATAAATATGTAAGGATATTGTATGCCAGCAAAAATACCAGTAAATAAATAGCAAAAATTTATACAAGTTCATATATATCCATATTACAATCTTCGGATTTAGGAAAAATGAGGACGGCAATAATAAGCTGACCTCAAACACTTTAAGGTCAACATTGCTAAATACCAACCCTAATTCTGAAGGTTAATACTTTATATGCATAAATGAGCCTCCTAAATTACCCCCTGGATCCAAGCAGGTATAGAAGCTTTTATTCCCTCTTGTTGAATTTAAGTCAAGTCTCATTCTACTCCATGGTTATTCTTTTCTTGTGCAGCTGCCATATCTATTTGTAATCATTTTTTTCATCTTTTTTATAAAAACATTTCTCCAGCAAACAAATTTCTTTTTATTATTGCAAATCAATGTAAAAAAGTGCTGATGCAAAGCTAAATTTTTCTCAGTTTACTAAATCTTGCATTATCTCAGAAGTAAGGTTTTGAAAACTTTTGGAAATTTTCAACAGTCATTAACTAAAGTCTAACATTTTATCTCTTACACACGGGTATGATTTAATTAACTCTTCCAAGGATAAGGCTGTTTGCAGAGGTATTTGCATAGAACCTTTCTTCTAACTTGTCCCTCAAATCAAATAGCAATACTCTTCCTGCAATTTCTGTTAAACAATGGGTTAATTGTTAGACTTCCGAATGGCTCCAGCTTCCGTTGCTAAAGTCAATTCATAATTGAACTCTTCTAAGGCCTGTGATCTAGAAGAAATTTCTGTCTTCTATTGTGCATTGGAGGGAGGCAACAAAACTAGGGCTCTTGATTACTCTTGACATATCAAGATTTCAATAAGGTTTGGCATGCTGGTCTTCCCTGTTAACTTGCTTTATATGGTGTATTTGAGTTTATGAGATTATTAAATCAGTTCTTTTTTACAGCAGTATTAGAGACACCGTCAAAGGCCAACACACTTCATTTCCAGTAACTTCTGGGGTACCGCAACATTTAGTTCTTATTCCTGTTTTGTGACTTTCATATAATTTTCCTGACAATTTTTTATAATATGGCTTTATTTGCTGATGAATCAACTTTATACTCCTGTCTTGACAAAAATTCTTCATTTTTCCAACCATGGAACAAGCAGCTAATATTGAAACTGATCTCTCTTCTGTAACAAATTAGAACTTGCATTGCCTTCTGAATTTAAACTCCAATAAAATTCAGTTATTTACTGCAAATAACTAAGTCCTCTAACTTATTTCTTCCTGGATTATCATTCACTACTGACCTCTCATTGAGATCATATATACAATGCTTTGCTAAGTTAGCACCCAGGTTTCTTTTTATTCTACATTTTCTTACTCTTGGTTTCATTCTCTACAACTACAAATATCATTCCTTTATAGAATAGTGTTGTCTCAAATTTATTCCTTTTTAGAATATTATTGTCATATTCCGGCTAATTCTGCTCTTTCTTTTTTAGACAAGAAAACACATCAACCATTTCAACCGTATATCAACCATTTCAACCATTTCAACCATATATCAACCATTTCAACCATACACCAACCATTTCAACCATTTCAACCATATATCAACCATTTCCTTGCTCTTTAACACTATTATTTGTTTTCTAACAACTCTCAGCCTTGTTGGAAGTAAATTTTATAAAAAGGCAGTATTATATGGATAGTAAATGTATGCATAAATTTATAATATAAAATGTACTATAAATTATCTCTTAGCCCTGGCTATCAACCACTGCTAAATCTTAAAATGTTGTTGGGGCCAGGTTTTCAAGAAGCTCTATATTTAGCTGAGGACAGGGCTAAGGCCCTGGTACTTACTAACCCCAGCTTATGCTCAGTTTCTTTTTCTTCTCCTTTAGGTGGTTTAAATTATGCTACAATCTTTTTTGGATTTCAAGTTGTTATTGCTGCACGGATAGTGGTTCAACAGAGCCCGACATGTGCATGTCAAGACGGCTGGGAGAAACACTAGTGTAGCTGTTCTTTCCAATATGACTTACACGGTTAACATAGCACAATAGATTTAGATCTTAATTTACATCAAAACTTTTATTCCTTATATCTTATACATCAGTTGCATAACCTTAATGGTGACTAAGATCCATTTATTGACTTTCATTGGGTTGAAGTCTTTAACTGCTGATGAAAATTTCACTACGTACAAAAAAAATAGGACTCTGGTTTTGAATGACTACTTGGTTCTGATGTCTGTAGTTCAGGAGCTTCAAAAATGTTGAGAAACTTTAAGACTTTATTGAGAAAAAAGGATATAAGATATAAGTTCTTGAAAATTTTTTTTTTTAGCCCACATTCTGGAGTTTCTTACTTTACAAAATTGATAAATATAAATATTTATACTTACATTTTGATTTTTATATGAAATCTTTACATTCATTAGTGATACCATTTATTTATATTAAAATATTTTAAAAATTCAAGTTAGTGTTTATTATTAAGAAATTAAAAAATAAGGTAACAAAGAAAATTAAAATCAACATACGAAAATGTAATATCTTCTATTTTTCCTTTCATCAATGCTTTTTCCAACTGAATATAAAAAATAATCATTATGCATATTTACAATTTTGTTAAATTTAGAATCAATGCAAACAATAAATTTAATAGGTAAACATTTTTTTTTGAACTTACATCTTTTTTAACATTTCCAGAAAGCATCATGTAATTAGGAGAATGCACATCATTCAACAATGAATTAAAGTTTTGCTTTAAAACAAAACTGATTTTACCTAAACATATTAAAAAAATAAAAAATGATTATATATATTTTGAAGTTTAAATAATTTTTACTATACGTATGTATTTGTGTAGAAATGTATGAACGTATGCATGATTTATATATATATATATATATATATATATATATATATATATATATATATATATATATATATATATATATATATATATATTAGTAAAAAAGTTTATGGAGGTGGCTCTTAACCCTTTAGAAAAGACTTTTTTTTAACATTAATAACATTAACAAAAGTTTCAAGCCTTCTTAAGAAAGGCGTTTGGTCACATGCCTTTGATGACCACAAATACAAATTTTTTTTTTGACAAATTGGCCAAGGCTTTTAGCATATTTTGATAACATGCACATTTAAAAAACGCCCTGAAAAAACCAAATTAATTTAAAGGAAAAATAAAATAAACAAACCATAAACAGAAAAGAGAAACAAAAACAAATAAATGATAACATAAATAAAGCATAAACCAGAGAAAATTAAAGCAAAAAAAATATTTTTCAATTTGAAAGTCAGGTTGGCAAAATTTTGATACTAAGGGGTTACAATAAAACAAATAAATGAGGTCAGCAATATTTTACTAACCTCAAATACTTTAAGGTAGGCATATATATATATATATATATATATATATATATTATATATATATATATATATATATATATATATATATATATATATATATATATATATATATATATATATATATATATATATATATATATATATATGTAAATCATCGGCTCGGGATGCAATTGTCGTATCGCAAATTTATTAAAGTTATATATAAATATATATTTATCTAATATATGTAAATTTAACATCATATAAATGAAATATATTTTTTTTTAAACGTTATATTAAATAACTTATATTAAATAATTTTTACATTTACATAACTTTAAATTTATATAAATTACATTATTACATATAATTTTAATAAGTTTGCGATACAACAATTGCATCTCGAGCCACGATATATATATATATATATATATATATATATATATATATATATATATATATATATATATATATATATATATTAAAGCCCATATATATATACATACATACATATATACATACATACATATATACATACATACATACATATATATATATATATATATATATATATATATATATATATATATATATATATATATATATATATATATATATGTATATATATATATATATATGTATGTATATATATATATATATATATATATATATATATATATATATATATATATATATATATATATATATATATATATATATATATATATATATATATGTGTTACGAAGGTAACAATCTTAGTCAAGCGTGGAATTATTGTGAAGGTAGCAACGATATGCACTCAAGCGTACAGTTAGAAAGAAACAATACATGATCAAGCGAGGAGATTAATTACGAAAGCATGAAAACATGAGTAGAGACCGTTGAACCGAGCATGTCTTATGGTTTCGAAAACAATATAAAAAGGGGAATATATATGATTATATATGGGAGGATATATGGGGATATATATATGATTATATATATGAGGATATAGAGGATAATATAAGGAATATATATGAATATATATAGGAGGATATATGGGGATATATATGATTATATATATGAGGATATAGAGGATAATATAAGGAATATATATGACTATATATAGGAGGATATAGAGAAAATATATATGTAGTACAATAGTATGTAATATAGTGAGAGATATATATATGAGTATTTCTTGTATCAATACGTGCTATTTGAGTTAAATTATAATTATATAACGCTTTGTCACAGTGGTTAGTATTCTACGCGTAACCTTTATTGGAGTTGGGCAATTACCCACTGAGTAATTGGGAAACATTACATAACAGGCGCAAATTGACGCGTAACATATATATATATATATATATATATATATATATATATATATATATATATATATATATATAATATATATATATATATATATATATGTATATATATATATAAATATATATATATATATACATATATATATATATATATAAATATATATAATTGAACTATATTATATAATATATTATATAATTAATTGAATGACTAGTAACACGAGAAATTTAGTGGCACAAGAGACACTAGCTTTAGAAACAGCGCACACTATAGTATTTATAGAAAGAGAGAAAGAGAAACAACATTATGGCGATGTGAAAACATTAAAGTATATATATATATATATATATATATATATATATATATATATATATATATATATATATATATATATATATATATATATATATATATTTAAACAATTTAAAATGTATTCTACAAAAAGAGTGCTTAATGTTCTTAAAAGAACAGAGCAATTACAAATTAGTAGAAAATCACTTAGCAAAATTTTTTCTCATTTAACACTGTGTTTCATCAATAAAGACTCATTAAAGACTCATCAGAAAAATTTCTGATGAGTCTTTATTGATGAAACACAGTGTTAAATGAGAAAAAATTTTGCTAAGTGATTTTCTACTAATTTATATATATATATATATATATATATATATATATATATATATATATATATATATATATATATATTTGAATGTAGACATCATGTATGACAGTATGTAAATTATTAATTTATAAACATCAATAAATACGATTTTCTCTCAATACTAAATTTATTTTTTATTTTTTAAAAGAAATTTTCAACTTGAAAATTCAGGTCCAATAGGTCTTTCTTTTAAAGTAGTTTTAGCTGAATCTTTTCTTCAGAATCTTGAAAAAAGAGCGCTTAATATAGCGCTGAAAACCAACCCGATTATTGACATAAAATCATTTTATAGATACGTAGATGACAGCCATGCTAGAGTCCCTAACATTGCCCAGGCTAATCAATTCAAGACAATACTTAATTAACAGCATCCAAAAATACAATATACAATCGAATTTGAAAATGACAAAAAAACACTAAATTTTCTAGACTAATGCATAATAAATAACAAAAATACAAATTTAAAATACACAGAAAAAATGCAATTACTAACATTCAAGTTAAGGCAACATCAAACCATGACCCACAAATTTTAAATGGAATATTAAAGGGTTTTGTACATAGAGCATTTAATGTATGCAGTCAGAAGCATATAGAAAATGAACTGAAATTCCTTATTCAAGTATTTGTTGAAAATGGTTACAAATATTCCAATCTCATAAAAATCATAAAAGAAATAAAATGAAAGTACAAAAAACCTCTAGTGACTACTAAAACATTGACAACATCACCAGTACGTATCCAACAATTTCATTACCTTGGGTACCAATATTGTCTCCCAAATTGCGACAAGTGTTTAGGAAGGCAGGATATAAAACGGTCTTCAAATCAAACTTAAACCTAGAAGCAATATTGACTTCAAGAAATAAATCTAAACTACAAAAAAACAGCCACCCAGGAGTTTACCTTATTAAGTGCCATTGTAACAAAAAGTATATCGGTGAAACAAAAATGCAAATAAAAACACGCATGCAACAACACAAAAACAGTACAATAGGAAATAAAATAGAAAGATCAGCATTAGCCACACACATGAAACATTGAGCACAACAAATTAACTGGGACAGTTGCAAAACTCTAAAAGTCAATAACAAAAAGTTTGATAGGATAGTATGCGAGGCGCTTGAAATACAGTACCACTAATGTGCCCCTCAACAAAGTGGTATCAATTTAGATGAGGGACAATATGTGTCAACAAAATTCTGGACACCATTTCTAATGCACTTACGTCAGAAAAAGACGAAACCATTCCATTGACATATAATAAAATTACCGTTTAAAAATAACATATAAACAAAAACAAACAAAATCTTTTAAGCTGAAGACGCTGGTCACAACAATCCAGCGAAAATTTCTTTTAAAAAATAAAAAATAAATTTAGCATTGAGAGAAAATCGTATTTATTGATGTTTATAAAATAATAATAATAATAATAATAATAATAATAATAATAATATATATATATATATATATATATATATATATATATATATATATATACATATATATATATATATACATATATATATATTATATATATATATATATATATATATATATATATATATATATATATATATATATATATATATATATATATATATATATATATATATCAGGGTGTAAACTAGCCCTGTGGCGCCCCGTCAAATGCGGTTTTCCCAAATGCTCATAAAATTAAAATTCCCAATTTAAAGATAAAAAAATCTCATTCTCCAAATAAAGTTTCTGAAATAAAGTTTAATAATAATTTTAAAAATAATTTAAAATTAATCATTATTGAAAACTAATAGAAAAGTAACATTAAAAAATTGGCCATTATTGGTATAAAAACGCAATTGCATAACTGCACAACAGCTAATTTTGTGTTGATTTCATATTCATGTTTAATGGTACAGATGGTATTTTATTTTATTTTTGGTTATTTATATTTGATTTCATATTCATGTTTAATGGTACAGATGGTATTTTATTTTATTTTTGGCGCTGATCAATCAATGTATTTTCCCACAACACATTTTAACCTCAGGGGAGGGGGGGGGGTGATTGAGAAATTGACAAATTCACAATTTTGTTAAAACGCTGTATCAAATTTATTCCTGGTTAACACTGTATATATATATATATATATATATATATATATATATATATATATATATATATATATATATATACACACACACACACACAACCATTGGAGTCTGGAAAAATGAGGTCAGCGATAATTTGCCAACCTCAATCTAATAAAGGTCTGCAAAAAAAAAACATATCATTTGTTAAGATATTGCCCAAAAACTTATTCATTTGTGCCATACTGTTTTTTGTTAAAAAAAGTATGGCACAAATGCCATATGAAATAAAATGTGGAGCAAAAGATTTATTATAATCACAAATAAAAAATGGGGAAAATTCAGCTTGGGCGGAAATTAAATTGTTTAAAAAAATCTCTACTGTAAACACTTCATTCTTTAAACAAACCAGATATTGTTTAAAACAAAAAACAAAAAAAAAATTAGCAAAATTGTAAGCCCAATATTAGGGTTAGAAACAGATATAAGAAAATAAAGCAAAGTTTTTTGTTAATATCTCAATAAATATTTTGTTTTGGTAATTTTAATTAACTGCAAACTTAATTTCTAAGGTTCATTTAAGATACAAAAACAACTTGTCTTGGCACTTGGGGATCCTCAAAGATAACGATTCCACAGCGTAAACGAAACACATTTCACATTTGACAAAAAACATGTAATTTTCATGAACTTTACTTTTACATACTTTTATAATTAAGCTAGAACCTTGAGTTTTTTTTAGATTAGTTAATTTGACTTAACCTTTTTCCAACCATATATAGAATCTAGTAAGATTTATATGGCTTCACTTTTATATTATTAATGTCTTGGGACCAATATTGATTACAAAACTTGCCACTTTAACATTTTTTCAAACAAAGCTTCTAAAAGTAAAGATTCCTAAGTAACAAAACATATCGAAATTGTATGAAACTTTCCATATAAATTAAAAAAGGAATGAGGAATCTAATGGAATGTGGATTTTCAACATTTATACATAATTTTTTAGTTCTCAGTGTTTAAAAACTTCAAGTTAAATTTATATAGATGTCCATGTGGAAATGACAGTAATAGCCATTTCCACATAGCTTTTTTTTTTAACTCTATACAATCATATTAATCATAAATAAAAATGTCAACTATAATTATAAATTAGGATTGAGTTGTATTTGTTGTATAAGTGAAAATACAATTAAGAATATTTAAAATTAAAAAGAGTTTATAGTATATATATATATATATATATATATATATATATATATATATATTATATATATATATATATATATATATATATATATATATATATATACATATATATATATATATATATATATATATATATATATATATATATATATATATATATATATATATATTTATATATATATATGTATATATATATATGTATATATATATATATATATATATATATATATATATATATATATATATATATATATATATATATATATATATATGTATATATATATATATATATATATATATATATATATATATATATATATATATATATATATATATATATAAACAAAAACTAACCTTCCTGGTTGCCTGCTTTAGAGATAACTTTAATCAACTTTCCTTCTTCACTTGTAGCCAAAATATCAGCAGGAGAATTACTTTTATTTAAATTTTCTTTAACTGAAGGTAAAACACCTGGTGAGTCACCTCCACTTGCACTTCCACTTTCATCATCAAATGAAGATAGAGCATTTTCATATTCATCATTAAAACCTTCTTCTAAATTAGAACTGTTGTCATTATTGTTTGATTGAGTGTTTTTATTCACCAAACCTAAATTTAATTTGTTTTGGACAGTAACATTTGGTTTGCTATTAACTATCAAACGAGAGCCCTTTACTGCTGTTATTAATTTGAAATTGTTTTTAACTGCATTTAAGTTTTGTAATTTTTTATGTTTCGAAGAGACTATTGTTTGAGTTGCAACATTAGCAGACTTTGAAGTAGAAGCATTCCAAGAATTTGTGATAGGTTTACGAGACTTTGAAGGAGCATTCCAAGAGTTAGTGATATTAGGTTTTCGAGTTTTAGCAGCAGCAGAATTTGAAGAAGCATTTAAAGAGCTAGTGATATCAGGTTTTCCAGATGCAATAGATGCAGACTTTAAAGAAGCATTTAAAGATTTTGTGATATTAGGTTTTTGAGATGTAACAGAACCAAACTTGAGAGTGTTCAATGAATTTATAGCATTTGGTTTTTTGGCTTGATATACAGATTTAGCTCTTATTTTAAATGGAGTGACTATGTCACTATTACTTGGTCTTACATTTGATGTACCTTTTAATTTGGCTTTCCTTTTATGTTTAGACTGCTTAACCTTGTATAAAACCTTTGATTTTTTGTCTGAACTGTCACCACTTAAATTATCATCGTCTTCAAAATTTATTTCATTTTCGTCTTCATCAGATGATTCTTCTGAAGCTAACTGGTTATTCTATAGAAATCAAAAAAAAAAAGGTTATTTGCATGCTTATCTAAAAGTTACAATTTTTTTTTATATTACAATTTAGTAATACAACTATTATATTCCAGTTATATGATTACTATTCTCTGGAAATATAAATATTATAATCTGAAAATTTTGTCTTTATTTTGAAAAATGATTGAAATAATAAGTTACATTTAAAATTTTGTATTCGTACTTTTTTTTTTATATTGTAAAAATAAAATTTTATAATTAGATTGATCTCATAAAACAACAACAACAACAAAAACACTGATAAGCTTAATTACTTCATATTGTTTCATAAATCTTTTGAACTTCAATATCTTACAACATTATATACAATTGAATATTTTTAGGTAGGAGTAGTTTAGCATCCGAGGTGCAGTGGTTAGAGCTCCAACTCTATTTTCTATTGATTTGTTACTACTTCATGTTACAAATAGCAATATTAGGTGTCTCTAGACACACCTATAGGAAAGTTAGCAGCAAATGATAAAGACCTAGTTTTGAAAAAATTATAGCAGTGTAAATAAATTAGGTATTTTAAAAACTTTACTTTTTGGTGGGAAATGAGTTCAGGACAGTAGAAAAGTATTAAATGGTTATTAAAAGATTTTTAAACCAGAAAATAGACAAATTAAATCTAATACCCTCATTTAAAATGTATTTTTTTTTTTTAAGTATGTAAATAATAATATAATGCTTCTCTGTAATTTTACTTTTATTATTTATTTATAAATAATAAAAGTGCGGCCGCTTTAAAATAATAATCAGGGTAGCCAGTAACTTGGAAATTCTTTTAAAGTCAGGTAATTAAATAAATTATACAAAGTTCAACTGGTATAGAAGACTTATTAATAAATATGGTAAATTAAAGATAGAGTCAAATTACTTTACATAAAAGAAAGGCAATAGCTATAGAATCAGAGAAAAAGATTAGCCAAGGACACTAAAGCAGCACATGAAGCTTTTCTAAGTATAATGCCAAAGCTACCACATTCTTTTTTTTCTCAACTTGTTAAAAACACTTAATCTCAATCCAACCAAAAGGAAAGATAATGCGAGTAACCCTCTGTTGTGTAGTTTAACTTCTTAAGCTAGTTTTTTCATATATTCATAAACTTCATCCTTGGACATTTATAGCCAAAAATCTCAGGAAGCAGCAAAGAAAAACAAAGAGCCTGAATTTAAAGCCTTTATAAGTTTTTGGTCTTCCTTGTCATCTGTTTTATCCAACTCCACAATCGTATTTTGGGAAAAAAGCAGGTTTCAACAACTGTAAAGTATTTACAGAGCAAGCCTGAATGCATGAATTATCTCCATCTCATTTTAGTTGTTCTGAGAAATGAATCAAGGCAACAATCAGGATAAAAAATGAACAAGCTGTCAATCAAGGTCTTATCCAATAAATTAACAATGAAACAAAAAGGTGGAAAAACATTCTTAAGAGAATAGTGTCAGTGATGATTTACTCGGCAGATATAATATTGCATTCCGTGGAAGCTCATCAAAGCTGTGCACCAAAAAACATCGGGAATATCTTTGGTCTTATCATGGAAGAAAAAAACAGATGGAAGTTCAACCGCATTGAAATTCTTTTGGTCTTCCTTGTCATCTGTTTTATTCAACTCCACAATCGAATTTTAGGGAAAAAAAAGGTTTCAACAATTGTAAAGTATTTACAGAGTCTGAATGCATGAATTATCTCCAGAATAGTCCTTTTTACTATTCTGTGGATAACACTACGCATATTGCTGATAATTCCAGTGACAGTGGCCTGCAGTCAAGCCCGGCGCGACAGGGGGGTGCAGGTGTGTGTGTGGGGTGTGACACTCCCCCATTAACCCCATCAATGATTTTTAATCGGCAAATTGGACCCTTAGTCGGCAAATTGGACGCTTAGTCGGCAAGTTAGTCGGCAGTTAGTCGGCAAATGTCGACCAAATTTCGATACAGATTAGTCGGTTATCTTGACAGTCGGCAAATGTCGTCAAGGCAGTCGGCAAATTTTGGAAAACGAGGATTTTTTTTTCTAGTCGGCAAAAGTTTTAATGTCACCCCCCCCCCCCTCCACGTGACACCTACTCGCGCCGGTCCTGCTTGCAGTGAACGTAGTTTCAGCAAGTTAAGGTTAATTAAAACTTACCTAAGTTCTTCGATGACGTGAAAAAAATTGACGTCGCTTGCGATGCTCTCCATTGAAAACGAGGAGGCGAAAAAACTCAACCATGGGAAAATTGTTGAACAATTTTCCTTAGGAAAATCTCAAAAAATACCGTTATAAGTTTACCCATTTGTCACCAATTTAAGTTTTCATTTAGAACTTCATTGTTCCATTTAGAATTCCATTGAACTATTTGATTAATTATAGATTTTGTACTGCTCACAACGCGACGTCACAGTGTGACAAACTCTGTCGATATATTTATGTCGTCTCTCCATTCAAATTTTTATAAACATATTTCAAAACTATTATAACGCCTTCTAAGTATCCAAAGCAAAACATAAAATTATTTCAAAATATCCATAAGAGCTAAACTACAGCTATTTCTTTTAATGATGGAAAATGCTAGATGATTTTAGTCACGTCGTGACGCAACCATTGTGACGCAACCTTTTAATGCCTATACCACAAAATCTATCAAATTTTAAAAGTAAATGTTTTTAGAAACTTTACTATTTATGAAAGTTCAAATGCTTTAAAATCTAGAAAAAAGTCAAATGTCACGCTCTGATTTAACAAAATAGTCTAAAGTTTCCTTGATTCGAATATGCGAGATTATAAATGTAAATTTTTCCTGATTTAGTCGTAATAAAATCAAAGAGTTGAAGAAACAGTTCAGGCGCAACTTAAAAATAGGGGTCACTGGGTACTTTGTACCCGAGCGCAGAATCAGAAGGGGCGCAAAGTGAACTAGTTGCTTGTTAGAAACCTATTATTGAAATATAAATTACTTGGTTACCCAAATAGCCTACTATTTGCAGTAGTTCATATGTCAACAATACAGCGTTAGTAAAATAAGCGGAAATCTGAGACTAATCGAAGTAGTTGCGTGAAATATATTTATATGGGAAAAATAAATATTTATAAATATTTATGCCGAAAAATATTTATGCTTTGTTTATAAAAAAATATAAATTGTATTAAAGTACTTAACAAAATGGTAGTATAATTTTATTTAAATTTACTGAGTATCATAAGATAGCCATTTAAATTTTTTCCATTGAAGTCCAATACTTAAGTTATTTTTTCGGATTATTCAAACAAAGTAAGTAAAAATTATTGTTAAGTATATTATTATAAGTAAAATTTTATAATACTATAAACTAAAAATATTGAGTTTCAAGTAATGCTATAAAAGCAGAAAAAACAACACGTTCCATTTACACTTAAATTAAGTTATCAGCTGCCAACAAGAAGATAAAAAAAATGCTTATTATTTGGGTTATAGTTTTCAAAATAAATTTATCAAAGAGTGCGCAGGAAACTTCCACGGTGCCAAAATATATTTTTTTTTATAACACTTGGATTTTGTTAAAAATAGATAATAGGAATAGTGATACATTTGAGATGTGACCGATCATTCGGTGAGTGTACCAACTACACTTAGGTAGTTATATCATTATTCAGCATATCTGCATTATTTAAAATCCATATGTCGAGTTTACCTTTAAAAGAATTAACGGAAATAGCATTAAGAATATTAGTAGGTAGTCGATTCCAGTAAAAAGATGCTCTGTTTGTTAAAAAATAATGCCGAAGCGAAAAACTGGTTATTTCGCGATTATGTTTCATTTGATGAGCTCTTGCTTTGATAACTTTTTGGCAAAGTTCTCTCTTGATCGATAACTTCTTGGCAAAACGTCATTAGTTAAATTTACTTTTTAAATTCCATTGAATAAATTATACTTTTGAATCATGTCAACCCGAATCCGTCCAACAACTAAAGTAGTGAGACCCGTTTTATTTAATCTTTTCTCATAACATAGTTTTTTAGTGGCAATATCATTTCTGTAGCATGATGCCACGATGATACAGCTTATACAACTAGATACAAGTTTTAAATATTTCTAACTTTTTTAAGATATAAATATAGTATATTTCAAACAGTTTTTTTAGATTTGTTATATTTTGATTGTAAAACAATTTTACAAAAAACTTTTGAATAATTTTAAAACTTTTCTCTTTGTATACCTAAAATTCATGTCTCGCTGTTCCTAAAAACTGGACGATACAAAAATTAATAAAATTGATATTAAAAAAGTGGGAAGCCCTGATATAAAATAGATAGCTCAAAAATAGTTCAAAAGATTTAGTGGTTGCACATGTCTATATTATAAATATGACTCATGCACTGCATTTTAAACTATTTATGGCATTATTTTATGTTTGTGTACTGAATAGAAAAATAAAAATAAGAAAATGATGGAAATATTAACTTTATCTCCATTGTTTGATATTGCTTGCGAACATACATCAAAAATTTTAATAAGTTTTGAAATTTAAGTGCACCATCTTTAATTGAAACAACCCAGTGTTAAATAATTAGCTGTATACTGAGATTTAAACAACTTTTAGTTAAAAATCCTTTTTTAATTTCAACATGTCGTTTCATTACAAATTAGTCACCAGTACTAAGTTAAATTTAGTATTTTTTTTAGAAAAATTTTACATTTAAAATAATACGTCTGATTCTAAAAAACTTATGTCTTTGAAAAGATAATAGCAACGCAACAGACACAATAGTTATTACATTTTTCATTGCTGTATAACTTAACATAAGTCAGAGGCTATAGGTACGTCTAGACGTGCTCCTAACAAAAAAAATTAAAGATACGTCCAAAATTTTGTTTTTCAATAGTTTATCTTTAAGTGTACATAGTTTTTACTTAACAGTTATTGTTGATTATTAATAATTTTAAGCAAGAGAGAGTTTATCAGAAATTATCAAAACCAAAACCATAAGTTGATAAAAGTAAACTCTCTTGAGCCTATCCCTATTAAAGTCAGATGATAAATGTGAAACCCTTCTATCCCATCAGCTACAGCAGTTCATATAAGCATCTATTTATTCAAATTTGAAGTAATTATTATAGCTAATTATTAATTAACATTTTAAATTATCAACAAACAAAAAAAACAGGTCAAAACAACGAGCACAAATAGTGTATGAGGTTTAAACCCAAATCTCCGCTATATTATGAATTTACGTGCAGCGCCCATCAAATTATAAATATTCATAAAAGTTAATATTAAATATTTAATTCAAAACTTGCTCCTACCTCTTCTACCAGTTTTACATTAATTAAGTAAAAAAAAAATGTTGGGATTTTTTTGTTACTAGGCTCAATTTTTTGCCGCAATTTTTTCAAAAAATATTCTTATTTAACGTTTACAAAAGCAACTTTAAATTTGGAGTTAGCGCATTACCTTAAAGTATCAAATTTTAAATATCAAAAAATTATGGCAATTAAATTTAGTGATAAGTGTCAATCTTAAGTAAAATCTATGATAAATGTCTAAGTAAATATGTCTAAAAATAGATCTGACGTAAAGTTCAGAGTTTAATATCAAATTTATTTAATAATAAGGAAATATTTTCATTGCAGAAATTTGAATGAGAATAACAACTGAAATTTGATTGAGAATAACAACTGATAATTTTTTTAATGAGAAAAATTAAGAATATTTTAATGAGCAAAATAAAAAATATAAAGATAAACATTTAATTCAATAACATTGTTTAATTTAACTACACAAAACTCAATAAAATTTTAAACTTACAGATGGGATATTTGATTTAGTTGACTCATCCTCGAGCTTCATAAATGAACTATCTTCTTCTACAATAGGGACATGACTTCTAGCTACATTAACATGGTGAGCATTGTTTCTTTTGGTACTGGCTCTTGCATTAAAAAGAGAAGATTCTTCAACACTGATTTTATGGGTTTTTTTCTTGCTGTCTAAATTTTGAATTTCATTTGATATATCATCTGCAACGTCATAATCATCATCATCAAAATTTAATCCTGTGATAAAACTTAGCTCTTCTAGATCTTTAGCTAACGCATCTTCAAATTCCCCTTCTGCTCCGATGCCGCTCTCAGATCCGGATTCTTCAACGTTTTCTTTTTCCGAAGGAAGATTATATTCTATATCGTTTTCCTCAGCTGTCTTTAAAAATTCAGAAAAATGCTTACTGCTGGTAGTTGCCTCGTTTTTAAATTTTGCCTCGCTTTTAACTTTTTTTTTTTTGAGCTTAGGCTTTTTAACTTTTTTGTTTTTGAGACGATTTTTTAAATGGCGTGATTTTATTGGTTTTTTATGTTTTATTTTAGAACCAAATGAATTTAATTTTTTCGACAATTGCTCCTCGCTAGAATCACCGCTTTCCTCTTCAACGTCAACTTTTTTTGCAGATTTTAATTTTTTAGCTTTAGCTTGAAGCTCGGCTTTTAGTCTCTTCTCTTTTGCTTGAGATAAATTTTTTTCTAAATGTTTTGATTCGGTTCGAATTTGCTCATTAGTGGCTTCGTCGTCCTCGCTGTTTTCTTTTGTAATTTTTTTTTGAGATTTAATCTTTTCAATTTTAAGAGCCGGTCGGTCCCCTTCCTTCAAATCAGTGCTTAATTTTTCTTTATCTTTTACCATAGCTTGTGGTGTAATCTCCTTTACAGTGTTGGTATTTTCTGCATTAGATACATTTTTAGGAGATTGAGAAGATTCTTCTTTTTGTGGCTTTTTTTCGCTATATAAAGCACTTGACGTTAATTTAGGATTATAAACTTTAGAATCGTTTTCATTTTGTATAAGTTGACCCATCATTAGCGTATTTATTGGTGCTTTTAAAGCTGTCACATTTTGACCTATGGCAGCAGTAAAAGTTACACTTGCGTTCACTGGATTTGAAGGAGCATAGTTTAATAAAGGTTGTACTGGACTTTGGTTAACATTTTGTGGTGCTTGAGCTACTGAAGGGCTACTATAAACGGGTGCCGATGCAACTTGAGGAACTTGTGCAGATATGCTCGTTACAGCCGATGGAGAAGCTGGTGGAGCAGCTGGGGGGTACGAGAATATCGTTGCAGTTGGTACTGATTGTACTTCCGAAGTAGCTGGAATAGATTGTGGATCTGGATTAACTGGAGATGTTGAGTATATTGAAGCAAAGTCAACTGCAGGTGGTGATGGAGCTGGTACATAACTTGCTAACTGTTCAGTTGTTGTTGCCGGAGACGTATTAGATGAAATGGCAGATGACACCTGCGTTGCCGAATTTTCACCTTGCAAACGTTGAATATCTGTGTAGTATTGCTGCATTTGCTTTTTATACTCATCTTGTGACGTTTGTTCTGGTGATGGTTCTGATTTTATAGGCACTGGATCAGGTATTGGATCTGCAATAAAATAATTTTTTATCAAGTTTTCCACGTGCATTAGGTTACGGGTTTTCACTATACGTAGCGGTTTTTTTCAAAAAGTAAAACTTTTCAGAAATATTTAAGTAAAAAATTACAAGTACTTCCATTTCGTTGTTGATTACATTTTGATTAACAAAGCTGAAAACCCGAAACCATAATCAAGGTAAATAAAAAGACTATTTTTTAAAACTCTATTAAAGTTTCATAACTGTTCTTAATGCAAAAAAGTTTTAAGTTTTATTTTTTGTTAAAAAAGAGTTTAAAAAACAGTAATATAGCCCACTTCAAGATTTATAAATAACTATAAATGAACAATAAATAATGAACAAAAAAAAAAATAATAACCTTCTTTAACGCAGAATCCGCAGGTCAACGGACATACGGTTGCCATATATTCTCTATACTGGTCAGAAGTGCACCAATTTTGTTGTTCTTTCCAAGAAAGGCATTGAGGATAGACATCGTTGCATCTTGCATAAACAACGTCAGCCTGTCGACGTTGTCGATTAGAATAATCTGTAAAAAAACAAATTAATACTTTACTCCAACAAAATGCAAACTTAAAGTATGTCTTTTAATATATTGTACGTAGATAGGTTATTAGATATAACAAGGAATTTTGACAAATAAAAATTTACTTAATAATATTATATAACAATTTTGAACTTACCACACGACGCACACGTGAGAATAACAAAAAACAGGACAGCTTTCATTATTAAAACGCCGCCTCTAAACACAAATAAGAGAAAATAGACTTTTATTCATTTGCATCTTTAAACTAGCAGATAAGGTATATGATTCAATAAACATTGTTTGTAATCAAATATCAATATATTAAGTTAAATAATTATTTTTAAGGTCTAAAAAATTAACTTTTTATGACAGAGTTAAAGGAAATAATAGTCTTCTAAAGTTTTACTAAATTTATTTAAAAAAATAAATAATTTACCATAAAATAGTTTTGTATAATTTTTGTAAATATTTACCCCCAGTTTACCATCTATCTTGCGAAGGTCTCATTCCGTTGTGGCAGAGCATATTGGTAAAGGAACGCTTTCAAGCGTGAAGAATGTCTAATCATGCATGGACACCTTTTTGGGTATTTACAAATTGTTTTACTGCAGATTCGCACAAAATATCATCTGGAAAGCATCTGTTTAGCACAAAACTCCTTTTTTTAACTTTTCAATTTTTAGGAAATTTTTTTACTGAAATTTTACTTGGTCAACTACCCGATCAATATTTTCTGATTTGAAAAATGTTTTAAAAACGTTTAAATTTAATTTCTTTTTTTATGATATAATTTTTTTAAATTTAAAAATTTTCATACAAAATTTTCGATTTTCAAAAGTTTTTACTTCTTCTGTAAAAGCAAATGAACAATTTAAAGATGGACTTATAAAGTATAAAAATTTTTAAAGTTCATTTTTTTATCTGCTATGAAAATGTTATTCCTACATGGTCTATCGAGTTAATCCAGAAGGATTTTCTTCGTAGAAAAATAAACGGGAGTTTCTAAGTTTAAGCTAAAGTAACGACTGATCAAACGATCAAATGCGTTGTGTAAACAAATAAAATTTTGTTTAGCGTGTCTGTTCTATAAAAAAACTTGTTTGAATGTCATCGCCTTTTTAAAAAATTTAACGACTTTAGTACACGCTAAACACAATTTTATCTGTTTATAAAAAAGCTTGTTTGGTTAGTCTTAATAAATTATTAAGTTACAATGTTGAGCTCTGAAACAGTATCATTTCTGCAAAATGTAGTCAATTTCTTAATATATATCCAAAATAACATTTCATAAAAATATTATAGTAAAAAAACAACAACAATTTCACTGTGACATTTTTGAGTAAAAATATTTAATAACTTTATGACAAAGAGAAGAATGAACTCACCAATAGTAATTTCAAAGACTTTTTATCATGGACTAACCCTACTAACTCTTTAACTGGGTGGACTTCAAATCTCTTATTCTTAATAATGAAACCAAAGATCCATCTGAGTGACCACATCTAGAACGGAACTATACATATACATTAGGTTCAGTACTGCTGTTTTGATTTAAGGTGCTTTTGATTAAAGAGAGTACATTTGACTTGACATTTGACTTACAAGAGTGCTTAAACTTCCTTATTATAAAAGTGGAAAAATGATTTAAGAATTTGTTTTTAAAGAGTTTGAACGAAATTAGTTTAAATATTGTATTAGCCCTAATTCATCTGAATTTCATATTTTAAATATTTACGGTTTACTTTTTTTTATAGTTTTTACATGCGATATTTGCATTGCACATAAAGCCAAGAAATATCTTAAAGCCATACTGTTAACAAAAGAATTTCCTTGTCATAGTTGTTTTAACCTTTAAGTTTGTTTTAGTCTTGTTAGTGATAAAAAGAAGCTTTATTTTTTTTAACCAATTGTAGTACGTCATACAAGATTTTCAGCTAAAAGTTTATACTACGTGAGATTAAAACTACTAGTTACTGAGATACAAAAATGGTAAAAATAATCTCCACCCAGTTTCAGAGTTTTTCTTGCAAGATTTTTCCATGTAATATAGTTTTTGAAGTTACTATTGGTGAGTTTGTCACTCTTTACGGTTTGCGCTATATATTCAGAAAGACGGGGCAAGATGGCAAACGTTATGAAAGGTTTGAGTTATCGCAAAACTTTCTGTCATGAAGTAATAATACTTTGTCAGTTTGTTTATGTTATCTTAATTATTCATTGCCTTAATTATGCATTATCTCAATTATTCAAATATTTCTAATTGCGAACAGAAAATTCATGCAGAATTTTCAATTTGCAATTAGAAAAATTTGAAATAAAAATTAAAATAAAAAATTTATAAATTTGTAATTTGGTCATGTGACTGGGGCAAGATGACTATTATGCAATTTATACCTCTAATTTTATAAAATTTTAAAAACTACCAATTACTCTAAATGAACGCAAAATAAACACGCGTTTCAAAAAATTGATCCTTAAAAAGTTATACCTGAAAAACGGTTATGAATAACCGAAACTAGATATTTTTTTTTAAGCGCAAAAAGTAAATTTATGCTTATAAAAATAATATAGTTCCGTTTTACCCCTTTTTCAAGTTTGTTTGTTGAGTTATATATGAAAAGCTATCTTGCCCCATACATGATATAGAAATACAGTTTCGAATACATTCTCGAAAGCAGAAAAAATCCACTTTGGTTTCTATAAAAAAATGTTGCTTCTACACGAGCAGATAGTGAAAATATGCGGCATTTAATCCGAATAAAACAAAATTGAGTGATAGTTGGCAGCAGCTTAGATTTTAAAAAAACTATGTTATAAATACAGTCGAATGCAAAAGTTTAAAAAATCCTAATTTTTCAAAAGTAATTTCAAGAAAATGAATTAAATTTTTACCAGCTATTCTTAATTTATGTATAACTTGTAATAGAAGTAAAAATTTATAGTCAGTTTCATGTCCCGTAAAAAAATCGAAATTTCATTAAAAATACATATTTAAAAAAAAAAAAATTTACAGAAGATTATTTTTAATTTAAATCAAAATTAAATTATAAAGTTTAAATAACTTGAAACTTGTACTTAGCTTAAAAATATTATAATGTTAAGTACAGGGTAGATACTGCAAGTACAGGGTAGATACTGCAAGTGCAGGGCAGATACTGCAAGTACAGGGTAGATACTGTAAGTGCAGGGTAGATACTGCAAGTACAGGGTAGATACTGCAAGTGCAGGGTAGATACTGCAAGTGCAGGCTAGATACTGTAAGAACAGCAGATACTGCAATACGTCGCCTGCGTCAACATTATTTGTTTGGTCGTCTTCCGGCTAAGAAACCGATAATATTTTTGAAGAATTGCTTTTCCCAAACGAAATTTGAAAAAAGTTATTTGAATAGGACTTTTAAAGAATGACCAATTAGTCTTATTCAATGACGAATGTTTTTCATGTTCAATAGTGATGATATTAAGTAAGTGGGATGTCTAAAAGGCGAAAGATTTACTTAAACAGTTAAACATGGTAGTGGTAGTAAAATGGTTTAGGCCTATTTAACCCACAAATCTATTGATTCACATCATCGCATCGAAGAAGTATTTTATCTTAATGTTCATTTAGATATATTAATGTATATTTATATAATCAAGGATGTTACGACCCACATGGGAAAAAAAAGAAAAGTGATTTCTTAGCAAAACTAAAAATTCAAAGCATTAATTATGCCCACAATTAATTTTATAATTCTTCTTTCCATTATAAGTTGTCGTTTTTTAACTAAAATCTTATAACTTTTTGTTCACAAGTTTGAGCCATTGCAATCTTTTAAAATGTATCTTTATTTGACTTAAGGTTAGAGATTTCTTTATGTCCGAAAGTTTGCTTACTAAAATACCAAAAAACGATGTATTCGTTCTTGCATACTTAGGGGAAGATAGTTAAAAATGAAAAATATTTTGAATTTTTTAGATTTTGCAAAGCTGCCACTTGTATAACTTGTTTTGTCAATATGTTTGTTTTATCAAAATAATTTATTTCCTGGATGGGTTTTCAGAGTGCAAAAAAAAAAAAAAAAAAAAAAAAAATTATATACATACAACTTAAAATGTAAAACTTATGTTTATCAACAGATTGTGTATTTAGGGCAAGCTTAGTACGCGTTTTCTTTTCCCAGCTTTATTAAAGTTTAGAAACTTCAACTTTACCTAAAGCATTGCAAAGAACCTTACCTTAAAAAGCTCATCTTTTTTTGGTATGGTTTTTGTCTACTGATAATTGCGAGCCAATAAAAGGACAATAACTAACAATAATTAAAGGGGGAAAAAATCTTTGTTTGAAAAATTTAAAATATTTCCATCGCAGCCCAGTACCCAGTGCCCAACTTTCATTCTTTCAACATTTTGTAATCTGAAGCGTATTTAAAATTTATTGATGCACCAATATCAGAAATCTGTTCTGTAATTTAAAAGTAGTAAATCAAGAATGGATTGTTGAATATGTGAGACTAAGTCATTATATATTGTTTTGATATTACTTTAACAATAATCCATTCTTGATCTTTTTAATTAAGTTAGTGCTTTTATATAGAGTTCTGATATTAGTACGTCAATGAAATTCGTGTAGGTTTCAAAAGTATCAATAGCAACATTCAAAAGTTGACTTGAGCTAATGTTCCAAGAATTTTTAAAATCAATATCGTGTTGCGAGGCGTAATTAGTCGTAAAATCTTGTGTGAAAGTAAAACAATTCATAGTTAAACTGGATTGAATGGACTTCTTTAGTCTTTATTCATGATAATTATTGAAATTTCTATAGAAAAAGGGAGATTGTGAATGTCTATTTCAATCGTAATTTGATGAAATGGGTTTTCATCGGGTTATCCATTAGTAAGAGTCATCTGTTGTTGTGATGAATGGGATCAGATGATTAGTCAATGTTTTTTATAAATAAAAGTCGATGAAGCGCTTTTACTATCTGGATTATTAAAAAAACAAAGAAAGATCAGGTATTGAAAACATGGCTATAATAAACGAGATAGCAGGAAATCAACAAGATAGTGTTGACTCAGTTGCATGCGGAATTGACGTTTATTACTTTATTTAAATTTAACGCAGTTAAAAAACACACGCATAAAAGTTATTGTAAAAAAAATCCTTTAAGTTTTTGACTTAAAAAATTAGAAAAGATATCAAAAGTATAAAAAGAAATCCAAACAAAAATTTTGCTCAAACCGAAACCACTAAATATAGTATTTACAGAATTTAAAACTAATGCATCTCAACAAAAACTCAAAAAAAGTCAACAAAATCATGAAAAAATGTTGCACAAAAAAGCACAATGTTGATCAAACCAAAGCGGAGAAAATTCTAAATAGACAACTAAAATTTGAAAGAAATCTGCGCAACTGTACACTGTAAAAAGGTTTTAAGGTTTCGTAAAGGGTTTTTCAGACTTGAATAAGGTTTCAACCCTAGAAAACCTTTTGGTGTATAAAAAAAGGTTTTCTTTAAAAACCCTTTTGTAAAGGTTTTTAAATTTTTTTTAAAGTTTTTTCAAGTATAGCCAAGTTTAAACTTTTTAAAATAAAAATCCAAAACTTATAATATTTTTTTACTTTTCAAATATTTATAAACAACCAAAAATAAAAAATAAAAAGTTTTGTAAAAGTATTATTTTACCGAAAAAAAAACAACCAAAACGAACAATGCACGCATGTAAATAACTGTTGCATGGTGTACTCATGCAAGGGTTTAACATCGCACCGTGTATCAGGAATAGCCCTCTGATGGGCGTGGTTAATCATTTAAACAAAACTTTTTTATATACTTTTTTGTATATAACGACAGGGAACTTGTTTTTTTTAGGTTAAACTATTAAAATTTTAGTCATCAATAATCAATTTTTCATCACAGCTGTACGCTGTTAATAAGACGCATTCTTTTTTGTTGATTTTTGCGTCCAGCTTAAGCTGATAGGTTGCGCTTATTAATGTTATATATGGAAGCCGGGAAAGACCATCAAAGAAATATTTTTTAAAACGAGAAATATATATTTTGAATCGCAAAGCATACTTTTAATCTAGAAATGTATATTTAAAGTCTCAAAATATACTTTAAATATACGTAAAATATTGTTTAAGTCGGAAAATATATTAGAAATTCAGAAATATGTTTGAAATCCAGAAATGTATATTCTTAATCGCAAAATATTTTTTAAATCGCGAATTATATATCAAATTGGAAAATATATTTTAAATCCAGAAATATCATTCAAACAACAAAAATGACTTAAAGTATTTCAAATCGCGATTTTTTCAAATTATCAAGTGCAAAAAATTATAAAGATGGTGTCATGTTGTAAAAATTTATAAAGATGGTGTCATGTTGTCATGTGGAGCTAAATTTTAATCTTAAATCCAATTTCTGAGTATATTGTGAAAATAAGGAAAAAGTTGAAGACCTGTACACGGCACACTCTAAACTCGTTGAAGTTCGTTAAGAAACTCGGTAATGTTGTAAACCATAGTTTTGCCATTTTACGATTAGCTAGTTGAAATTTAACATAAATTATGCTTTCAGAGTCCATTCTGAAACGACTTTAGAAAAAGGAAATCGAAAATGACTCTTTTAGCCAAATTCATTGAAAGCATTAAAGAAGAAAAATTGTTTGATTTTCTACAACAAAGAAAATTAATGCCACTCCATAAACTTTGTTTTTGTGTTTAAAGAAAGGTTGCTCAAAAATTTAAACGTTGTCCAATATAATTTACTTAACAATAACATAAAAAGCTTTAACTTGTATTATGCAAAATACCAAATGCAAACTCCAAGAGTTGTCGCCCCAATAGCATACCAACTTCATCGAGTTTGGGGTGCGCCGTGTACAGGTCCGCCACTTGCTCTTAGCAAATTTCAAAAATATATAACTGTCGAGAGGACATGAAACTGTTTTCAAAAATCTTTTGCAACAATAATTTCCAATAAATCTCTAAAAATTGTTTTATTAGGATTGTTACGAAGAATGTTGGTATTATGAAAGAAAATAGTAAAGATGAAATCAATATTTTGAGGGGAAGTAAATTGGTTATAGAAAACATGCAGATCATAACTAATTTTTCAATTATAACGATAACTAGGTGCTACTATATCCTGATAAAAAAAAGCTAAGTGAACAGACCATTTTCAAAGATCGACATATTTATGTAAACAAAGTATTTTAAATCTAAAAAATTAATAAAAATTATTTTAAATTGGAATTAGATAACTTCTGTTTTCATTTCACTATAAAAATTTGACAATAACACTTAATTAAATAATTAGCAGATTTAAGTTTTCCAGAACTGTTTAAAAAACAAAGGAAAGCAAATGGTATATTTAATTGATTCTGATGACCCAATTGATTTAAGTAATAGTTGTAAAAAATAAGACTTTGATAAACCTGAGAATGATCTTAAAATAAAGATTCCAGCTTTAATAAAACAGCTGAGTGATATACAAGATGTAGATGTCTGGATAAATGTTCACCGTCAATTTGAATTTTAAGATTTTCACAAGATTTTTTTAAAAATTGGAGCAAGAACAAAATCCATAAAATATACAAGTTTTCATTTGTTGGAGAACCTGCAATCGATACTGGTGAGTGTCTAGAGAATTCTATTAGAGTTAGAATTATATGCAGAGTTGTTAATGAAACTAAAATATTGCAACGCAAAGGCCAAATGTTACTTGGCAAACATCAAGGCCAAAATGTTGCACAAACAAGGAATTATTTTTTGTATTAAAAACCAATTCTGTACATTTATATATATATATATATATATATATATATATATATATATATATATATATATATATATATATATATATATATATATATATATATATATATATATATATACATATATATATATATACATATATATATATATATATATATATATATATATATATATATATATATATATATATATATATATATATATATATATATATATATATATATATGTATATATATATATATATATATATATATATATATATATATATATATATATATATATATATATATATATATATATATATATATATATATATATATATATATATATATATATATATATATATATATATATATATATATATATATATATATATATATATATATATATATATATATGTGAATAGTGTTACCACTTTGTTTAAAATAGCTTTAATTGTTTTTTATTACTTGTATCTGATCATTTTATCTTGAGATAAAATTTTGGAAACAGAAGCATTATTACGTTTTCTAAAGTTCTAACTCAAAAATAAAAGAACAATTTAACTAGTCATTTACTATCTGCAATCAATTTGTTTAAAATAATACATTAGAGCTTTTCTTTTTTAATATTATATAAATAATTTCTACTGCATATAATAAAATATTTGTATTGTATGTCAACCATCTTAAGTTAAATAAATGCTTCTAGAATTATAGTTGTTTTTTATTAGAAGGTTTACTTTTTTTATTATTTTTTAGAAGGTTTAAAGTCAATTAAAATTAAGTTCATTACTGGTAATAATTTAGTTGGCTATGTACCATCATGTGGTATTCTTAGTGTCGCAGATGGCACAGTAAAAATTATAGGCCATCTATTTGCAGCATATATTGTGAATGGTGGACTTGCCTCTTTTTTTTTGTCCCCTTGGGTTTAAGAACTTATGGTGAACGGCATTTCAGCTACAGATAGAAGTTATCCAAAAGCTCTAGATGAATCTTTAAAATTAAAAATTATTTTTGATAAGGTGAAATATTTCATTTTGTTGAGATTTCTGTGACAATTAAAAATATATATATATATATATATATATATATATATATATATATATATATATATATATATATATATATATATATATATATATATATAAATTGAAAAGCCTAACAGATTTTAGTTATAGATAAAATATAGCTGCTAAAGCATTACATTTATTTTAAATATAACTAATATATTTTTTTCAATTTTGTTTGCAACTACAGATGACTATTTAACAAATGTGTTGTGTGCAGAAAAAGGAATGGCAAATAAAGCAATTTTTACCTATAGTTGGAGAAGTTGCGATTGGTTTATAATTGTATGGCTTACAATATTATTTACGATTGATTGGTTTACAATCGATTGGTTTACAATATTATTATGAAGTTACCAAAAATATTTCAAGTATGATGTAAATTTTATTTTGTGCATACGAAAGTTTCAAATGGAAATTTGAAACATTTAAACTTTTATTAATACCGCAATTTAGCGAATTAGGAGGGAACAAAAAATCATTTAAAATTTTTTTATACATTGCTTAAATTTGTTATAATACTCTTAAAAACAAAGCAGTAGATAGTATGTTTTTGTTAT